GCTGTGAGTAAGTCTGAATGACAGGCTTCTGTAGTATTTTATCTAAATGTGTCAGAAATCTATTACAGTAGTCTGGCTTTATCTCTCACAATTGCTACAGAATTCATGAAGAAAGAAGAGGAAGTGCTGATGAGAAGGAATTGCCTTGGATGACCTACACTTTAAACAGCAAGAGGTAACTCCCTGCCTGGAGCTGTCCCTCCAGAAGATGAAAACATTGTTCCACGGATTAACAGTCAGCCATTCCAGCTTCAGTCTAGCTAACCAAGTTGGAATAGCCAAAAAGTTTTCAGAAAGACTTAAATGCAGGCTCTAGATGTCCATCAGGCATTCTAGGGATTTTACCTGAATTTCATGCAGAATTCCCTCAACATTATCTTACCTTTTCTTTGACTTTTGCACATCCTACCTATGAAACGTAGCAGAGATCTGCCCGCATATTTTACACATAGGAAGTTCTGTAACACTTCACACAAAAGTCAGAACCAGAAGCATCCTGTTCAATTTCCAGTGTAGGTAGACACAACGAAGCAGATCTCAGTATTGGTCACCCCAAGTTCTCCAAAATTACTTTTCATGTCTCCAGAAGTGTTGATGTAAAATTACTGTTACATTCTTTTTTTTTCCCCTCCCTTTTGTTGAAATCACTGGAATTCACATATTCAATATTTTTCCCATAATCAGAACAACTGCAAGCCATTTTCCCCACAGTGAAAGGTAAGAATCTCACATTCACACACTTCCACAAGGGGGAGGTAAAAAAAAAACCAAAACAAAAACCAAAAAGCCACCAAAACTGTAGTATTCTAAGAAAGACAGATCACCTCACTTTTTGCAGTGTCATGACTACATACTGTTAAACAGATGCTGTTCTCCAGAACAGAGAGATGATGTCTTTCTCATATATAAAGGAGAATAAAAATGCCAAAGTTTTGAATGTTTGTGTCTATCTTGCCCTTGAGGTCATTAAGGAAACATCTTCATATAAATTAAAATTAATCAAAATTCACATAGTTTCTGAAAGAGCATTATCAGAGATATTATCTCGTATATTCTGTTATAATGCCATAAATAACAATAATTCTTTTCACTAATTCTTCCTCCTTCTCCAAATGCCTTGCCCTGAGGTCATTATCATTGCTTCAAAACATGACTTCATTTTGTTTTCCGACTGCATGGAGACTACCAATAAACCATCAATCCCATGTGAAAAAACAACATGAAACAAACATTTAAATTATGCTATCAAGCTTTAAAGAGTCAGAGATATAGCAAAGCTAAGATCCCAATTATGCTGCCTAATATTTATATAATCATATACAAAAAACCACACTACAATCTTTATGCACTTTATGCATTTAAGTTGCCCTTTCTCAAAATCCTGAACTTCAGCATCATGTATGACCACACATGGTCCCATACATGTGCAACATCAGGAGTTCACAGAGACCACTTCTGTAAACAGGAGAGGCTATCCATACAGAAAATGTTATATTAACTGTAGCTTCACTTTTTGGAACCTCAAAGCACTTCCAAAAAGGCCGACCAAAATACATGTAAATTCCACTTCTGCATCTCTGTGCCCAGACTCAGTACTAACTACCCACCAGTTCTATTGTAAAACTTCCTATTTTGAAGTCACAGCCAAGCCCAGCATACGTTTCTACTGCCAATGCCAGCTAGACTGCCACACTGGGCAGATAAAAATGCGCTAACCTATCTTTGATACTATCTCTATTGATTAGGCGCAAATTTTTGTGGGTGTGACTACAACTGAAGGTTAACTATAACATAATAACAAGGAAATAACATAATGACATATAAGGCAGCAGCCATAAAACTGCATAAAGATTTAACAAAACGTAATTTTTTAAAATTAATTTTCTTGTTTAAGTTTCAAATTCCCCTATGTTTGTCACATAACCAAGTATTTGTGGAGGTCAAACATTTTTCAGTGGTGACCAGTGACAGGACAAGGGGCAACGGGCAAAACTGGAGCAAACGAAGTTCCTTCTGAACATCAGGAAAAACTTTTTCCTGCAAGGGCTACAGAGCACTGGAACTGCCCAAAGAGGTTGTGGAGTCTCCTTCTCTGGAGATATTCAAAACCCACCCGGATATGATTTTGTACAACCTGCTCTAGGTGAACCTGCTTTAGCAGGAGTGTTGGACTAGATGATCTTCAGAAGCCCCTTCCAACCCCAACCATCCTGTAATTCTGTAATTAAAACTCTTAATGGATCAGATTGATATATGCTTCATCATCCCTCAATCTTCTCATTTCTCAGGTTTCATCCATCCCTGCCAGTATTGTCCTATACCATTTCCACATAACAACACTGCAGGCAGAGCCAGCAAGAAGCCCTAAAGTAATCACTTTCAATGGGAGATCAAACTCAGCTCCTATTGTATCTGTGTAGGAGAACAATATAGCTCAATGTAGCCTTTAATTCCTGTAAATGTCCCCGATTTTCTTTCAAAACCTCATGGCATTAATAATAATAATGGCCCATCTTCGCGAACGAAGATTTGGGGAAAGGTCTTTTTACCTTTCCAGCCTGCGCAATGGATTTTTTAGGTGAGACACAGCCTGCGCTGAACTGAGCCCACCCTTTAATCCTAAGGTTCATCTGCCGGGGCCAAGCAAGCTTGGACAATGGCAGTGAGGTCCTCAGGACGTAGGTTTGTTTAGAGTGTCCTTCTCATAGATGGATGGCCACACAGGGCTAACGACCTCCATCAGGCCAGGAGACCGGGGACTCGAACCCGTGGTCGCAGCAGTGAAAGTCCTGCACGCTAACCACTAGGCCACCAGGGGTCTCAAACCTCATGGCATTACATGTAATGAAACAGGGAGAATTATGGAAAAGTCAGAAAAACATACTATCAACTTATTGGCAGATGCTGTCACGCATCATCAGAGCATAAAATGATTAGCTTAACAGCATTTGAAAACAACAGCTTACTTATTTTCATCCTTAGTGCACTCCCCATAAATGTTATTTTTAGATGGTATTGGCATTTACATCGGGTTTGACCGCCTCTACCTTTGTGGTAATTATTCAAAAATAAACCCAAAATATTTAAATTTTGATGGACTGTACTGCAAAGATGAAATATTTCAAAATAGAAGTAACATTTTACAATTGTAAGATACATTTTGGCTAATGTTCTCTTGAAAACGTTACAAAACCAAAAGGCCAGTCTCTGTACTTAGTCTGCAAAAGTCTGTGCTCATAAGCTAAGACCTAGCACAGACTATGTCTAGCCACAGTCTCACAAATCCAGAAATTTGTTCACACAAACCTCAGAACTGTTGATGCTTTGTTCACCTATGACCTTGTGATAATTCCTTAAGATGCAGTCTTTAATTAGACTACATGCTCACCCACAGGTTTCTTGCTTCATTTACTACACTGATAAACAACTGCAGAAGCAATTTGGTCTGTAACTTGCCTCTACATTTACATGACAAAATGAGAACAGTGGTCTTAGAAGACTGTGGACATTATCGGGGGAGCTATTATTTCTAAAATATCAACATTCAGATCTGTTAATATCCCTGATCAGAATATTTTAAACATTTTCCTCAAACTTTAAACCAACTTAAAGTAGAACATAGATAGAAAGAAAGTCACTGTCAGCATGATTTAACACAATCTACCTTACTCTCATACTGTTGTGGATAAGGTTATCACAAAAATGGTAGAGCAACCTTAGTAGGTGGATTGCTGTTGATAAATATACAGAAGCACGCAAATTCCCTCTTAACTGAAAAGAGCTGAATATGATGAGAATAACTCTGGACAACAATAATAAACTGTCAAAATGTAGTCTTTCTAAATCACTATCTTGTTCTATAAAAAAAAGAGGACCTCACAGAGGAAAGATGCTAAATTGAAGACACTTCCCAAGGCACTGCTTGTGAAAAAAAAGTGGAGAGAACCCATTGATTTGCACAGAAGTTCAGACTCTGAGGTCTTACATATTTTCAGTAATAAACTAGGTTTTCCTACTCAGTGAATCTGGTGGAGGCTCAACTCTGAGTATAAAAACAGTGGAGCTAATACTGAAATGCATTCCAGCATGTAAATTACTATGTCTTTAATTGCCACATACACACTCTCGTCTTCACTCTAGAATCAGTTTTCTCCAAACTGGTAACTGTTCAGAAAGGAACAGATTTGAAATAATATTAAAGCTTTTCAGAACTAGATATAGAAATTTTTACTTGAGTTTTCAACAGCTTTGCTTGAAGAAGGAAGATTTCTGTTTTATTATTAACAGAACCTTTTGAAAAGCATGCTTTAAGTCTATAACTAAACCAATAAGACCAGGAAGCAAGTCTAAGGTCAACTATTTTCTTTTCTGAAATATAGCTAGAGAATGACGTGTATATGAACTGAAAATCAATTCTTCAGGGTTCACTATTACTTTTTTAGAGGGGAATTGTTACAGATGACCTCTGGGTTCTCTATCCATCTGACCTCAAAAACTTTAACATGAACTGTAATGATGAAGGCTCAGTAAGATTTCTCTACCTTAAAGAAAGGTCATTATGTATGTAAAGGGAATATGAGTTATCTGAATCCATTTTGCTCTGTGTTGTAAGGGTGAGCTACATTAACTGACTTGAAAAATGCTTCACATCTGTGCATAGCCTACTTATCCACACCATTATTCTTCCTAATGAACATATTGGTTATGACTGGATTGTAATTCAGCACTTGAGGAGGTAACTAAAAAGTTGACAACAGGGAATGTTGACTGGGCGTCAATGTAGTTGGATCAAAGTTTTAATAGGGGTCTGATAGCAGATCTGATGGGATTCTCACTTTCAAATGCTATATCACATGACCTTTCTTTGATGTCTCATGACACGTCTGAGAGATGTATTTCAGCACTGACATTCAGAATTTTTCAGATTATTCTTGCCCTTCATGATAGGATTACAGAGCAGAAATTGCAAATGAAAAAGTGGAAAAAAAAGGTAAGTGAACCTTATTGAGGCTACAGAATCTTTCAAGATGAAATTATGCATCTCCTGAGCAGCACCAGTGCCAGACTTTCTGGACACTGCTGTGGTAGCACAGGTAAAACTGAAAGTAGAAAAAAATTTTACAGCAGTTTGATTCCTCTGTGGCCAGAACTTTCTTTTTTAATTAGGCCTTAGTTTCACTTGTCCTGCTATGGGACTGATAAAACAAACTCAAACTTTTCAATTAACAAGGAGCTTGAGATAGCGCAAAATAAATGTGGATAGAGCCTTTTCCTAAATCTTCATTCGCGAAGCCTAGCCATGAATACTACAGACACTCTCAGAAATATAATACAAAAATCCACATCTAAAACCAAAGAAAAGAAGTTTTATTTAAAGTATTTCCTTGTGGTTTTAAGTTGGTATATATAATATAAATTCATCATTTGTCACTCACATTTTATATGTATAAATAAAAGGAAACAATGTAGACATCATAGGGTCTTATTTATTTGGATACAAGAGCCATTAAAGGATGCAGATACAAGAGGTCATTTCTAAAATCTGTTCAAGTGGAAGGAAAAAATTATCTCAAAACTGGGATTAATAGATTATGAATTAGGGGACCACATCTCAGTTCTTGAATTAATGGATTTTGCTCCGTATCACTGGGATCTCTCTACAAACGAGGAATTATTAAACAGCCCCTGGAAGTGTTAACCACTGTGCTGTGCATAATAATAATAATTACAATAACAATATAGGGACAGGATTCTTTATGTACAGTCATGGTATTTTTTTTTTCAAATACTAGTACTAGAGCTAGCATTTCCCCATATTCCTTTATTAAAGACAGTCCATGTTCTAAACTACTATGACATTGAATCTGAAATAGTTCATTTAGATACTTACTACATTCTTTCTAAAAGCAAGTTTTAAATTAGTCTTGAAAAATCCAAAAAGGAACAATTTTTCTTTTTCAATAATCTGTTCAGATATTTTTCCCTTATGTACTTCTACCTTTATCTTCACAAAAAAAATTAAATCTCGTTGTTGTCTATAATTTCAAATTTAGTTCATAATTAGAATACATATGCATATATTTTGGAGAAAGTTATTTAGAAGCTGGAGAATCTATTTCTTACTACCAGATGACTAGCAATTATTTTTTGGTTGAAAAGTGTAATTGAATTTAAAAAGCACTGCTCTTATTAGTTTTAGAGAACTAGATGGACAAAGTTAATAGAGCTGATCACAGCTGTGCTCTGTGTCTAAAACGAAATCCTTGTTAAAAGATTGACTGTATTTATTGCCACCAGTGAAATGAACCACTTTTAACATGTTCTACACCCTTTTTTCATTTTGAGCATAATCCAGTTATTGAGGTATATACTACCAGGACATTGGTAAATGAAAGTTCTCTGCCATCACACCTACTATGGTCTTGTCAGTTTTATTCTTTTCCTCTGTAATTTTCATCCATTTTACTAAAATGTGCACAAATCAGTTTTAAGATGGAACACAAAAGCAAAGCTTTGAAATTATAAAACAACAAAGTCATGTCAAATACAAGATTTTTCTCCTGCTTCCTGATTTAATGAGCATAACCAGGGAAAAAGTAGCACAGGTAGGGCTTTCACACGTTACTCATCCCCAAATTCCTTACTAGATCTCTGGAGTAAATGTCAGCTTCACAGCTTGCTTCGAATTATACTGCAAACTCCACTGCTATGGAATGGGTTAAGAACCAGCAAAATCAAGGTTACTGTTTGATCCACCAGGTTCCCCTGGAGTAGTCACTGTCACTACTTAGCAAAAAAACCCCAAACACAACCCAGGTAATTGATCAAGTTTGTAATGCTTCCACAAACTCTCTTTGTTCCAAACTATGTCACTCTGGAGAATTTTCTGCATATGTTATTAAAGTCAAGGTTTGAAAGAATGCTGAATTCATATGATGAATGCTCTCTCCTACAGCATTTAATAGATAGCATGTCCCACTGATCTGTGTCCCAAAAGAAGGAGGACAAAGGGTACAGGAAAGTAGATATCATCCAAACATTCACTCCCATCTGTCTATTCAATAATTTGCTCTCAGTAACGTCTTCTTAGTCCCCAAGTACTTTTCATCCTGCCTATCCCATTTCTATAACATATTTCGCAAAATACAAAGATACTCATCGACGAAACAGGGAGATGAAAATCCAAGTAATTTTTCACATGGTTGGTAGCAATTTTACCTAGGAACTTTTAAGTCTGCAAAGCATACAACGTTTTTGAACCATAAACTTACTAGTGTTTTCACTGCACAGCTGGAAACAGATCTTGATGAAAATTAAAAGATGCATAAAAACAAAAAGGAAAGGAAAACTCATATATCAAAAGAAGATGTCAGCTTAGGACTTGTCCCATCTAATGCCCTAAACTAATTCCAGCATCTTTAATTTTGAATAAGGACCAGAGTTTGACAAGCCCACCATGACATACAGCACTGCAGAACTGCAGCAGAGTACTCATATCACATGGAATAGGGATTAGAATTCTATTAGATCCAGACAGTTTAATTCAGAGTTTGATTTTGGCAGGCTAGTATCCTTTAAATATATATTTGTATTTCAATGTCTGTTTGAGTTGTACTATAACCTGCTTGGGACAAATCCACTGCCACACCATAACCTTTAATACTCATTAGGAACTAAAGGCACTTGTGGAATGCAGCAGTGTGCTGGGAACCTTTCTATCAATAGCTAAAAGTTCAACAAACTGCCTTCATAAATGGAAGTCCTTTTCATTTGCATCTGAAAGGCAAAGAAGTTTAACTAAGAATGCAGTTGTCCCAGCCTAAAGGAAATACCCTATCTTTTTTTTTTTTTTTGATAAGTAGTGTGGCATTCTTGACTCAGCTAGATTATGTTAGAAAAAACAAAACAGTCACACCTTACCACTGCCTGTAAGCATTTTTGATTACCTATTGATGCCTTAGAGCTTCTAGGACTTTTTAATCACAACCCTCGGTTTTCACCCATAGCTTTGGGAAGTCCAGCTTCGGACCCCCAAAGCCGCCGTGGGCGCAGCCACCCACCCGGTAGGCGAGGAGAGCGGGCGAGGGCACAAATGGTCCTGCCCCGGACCGCCCCCGGGCCCGCCCCACCTGCAGAGTTGGGCGCTCGGGCTCCTGCTCCTACTGTTGCCGTAGCAACGGAGTCGAGGAGTAGGCGAAAACCAGGAAAGATACTTTTTGCAACAGAGAGAAGGGAAGCTCAGAAGGGAAGCTTACTGAAGACTGGCCCTTGTAGTAACTGGCCCTGTGGTGACCTGCGGAGGGGTACAGGAGTTTCGGAAGGCTGAGCGACCGGCACTGTCTGTTATCAGTAACAAGAGCAAAACTCTTTTAAAGTTTTACAAAAGTT